AGGGGCAAATATATAGTACAGGAGACTTGGGATACAAGGAATGAAATCTAGACTAATAGGAATACGTATGGACACCTACACCAGTACTCCTTAACGCTCTGTAAGCACCCCGTCATCACGCTTCAGCCTCACAACTTTATTCTTTTACCGAAAAAGGCTTTTGCCCCGCTTTATATATAATAAAGCAACCACCAGAGCCACAAGGTCCAACAAAACAACAAGGTTCACGCCGCACACACACGCACAAACTCACATGGTAGCACACACAGGTCCAAAAAGGGGGGTTCTGCTGAGGGCACAACTCAACAAGCCCAAAAAACGAAAAAACACAACAAGCGGCTCATGCGGCATAACCGATGCATGTGGCACACGCAGCACATGAAATCATGTAGCTTGCCTTGAAAGAAACTTGTATTCTCTCCCCATCTTTCACCTGTGTTCTTGTTTGAATACCGGTACTAATATTCACTTACTGTTGTGTGTTGTTATGGGTGGCACTTGTTGCCTTGGCTCTTAACTCTTGTAACAATTGTGCTTCTCCTCTTAATGAAAAGAAGGGTAATTGTTTTTTGCACGTTCTGTAAGAAGTATTCTATTGCTGTTCACTTCAGAATAGTACATTTTTAAAATATACGAGTACATCGCTGATAGATCTTCTCTTTGACCTAGCCATAAATCTGTTCTTGTATTCATACTCCTGTTTACTAGTTTGTGAGCTGCAATCCAATTCGTTCTCTTATAAATATTATTTTTCAGGTTGATGAAAAACAGAGAAATGTTTTACTAACAGAACAAGGCTACGCTGATGCTGAAGAAATACTGGACATAGATGATTTATATGATCCTCGTGAACAATGGGCTTCATATGTTTTAAATGCAATCAAAGCCAAGGAGCTCTTCCTTAGGGATGTGAATTATATTGTTCGTAGCAAGGAGGTGCTTATTGTGGATGAGTTCACAGGTCGAGTTATGGCAGTAAGTATTGCATTATTTTTTCTCCAAACAAAGTAAGTATTGCACTATTATTCTCGGTGCTGTAAGGCAATTTTTGTATAGCCCAAAATTAAGTCAGTGGCTAACTTCACCGAAAAAGGCTTTCGCGCCGCTTTATATATAAAGCAATGACCGACAATAACCCGGTACAAACGCACGCCACCACAACACACGCACACACCCAAGGCAGGATACATAGGCGCTGAGCGCAGCAATACGACCCTTAGCACTACAAGAGCAACCGGGGACTCCAACAGTGACCACGGCACCGCAAAGAAATGAAGCCACATACGACGAACAGTGAGCTCCATGACGATGCCTTCAGGAAGATTACGACACTGGAGTGCCGCCACCGTCCAATCCGAGGATCAGAGTTTCCCCTGGATCCACACAACGGGCAATGAGAGCCGCGACGACGCCTTCAAGAAGGGAACGAGCAACTCCACCGCCGGTTCGTCCGAAGATAGAGCAGGTTTTCAACCCGGCCAACACTCACCGCCACCGAACGCCACACCCCGGCTACCACGCCGCCCACACGGCCATGGCCGCCGGGCAGCACCGAGCGACGGGCCGCTGAGTGCGGTTGTCCAGAAACAGACTGCAGATGGCCTTCCACAAGATGAAGGCGGAGGGATGGTCCTGCGGAACCATACCTTGGAGCTCGTCGGAAATCATGGTGTACAGCCAACGGACGATGCACCAGTCCACCTGTGTCCAGGCGACGTCGTGGCGGCGGTGCTTGGCGTCGACGGAGCCGTCGACGTGGTCGTAGATGCCGTACGACATGAAGAGGGCGTGGAAGAAGGAGCACCAGAGCTTGAACTTGGGAGGGTTGAGGTGGAGGGTGACGGGAATTTGGCCATGGATGTTGAGGGTGAGGATGGTGGAGAGAGGAACAGAGAGGAGGCTGGCTGGGGCGGCAAACGGATTGGAGCTGGAGGAGCCGCCGGAGGTCAGATCAGAGAAGTCCATGGGAGGGAGGCGGAAGCGAGAGGTTCGGATCGGGAGAAAGAATTAGGTATCTGATACCATGTAGTGGAACAGACTAGAACTGGAGCAATCACACGCTGTATTCATTCACAGGAGAGTACATATATATATACCAGTACATAGGCACAACGTGCACACACTAACTGATTAACTAAGTTCCTAGATGCTAGCTGCATGCGATCAGAGTGGAGGAAGGAGCGCAGGCAGTTGGGAGCAGGGACGTGGTCACGTCGGAGCTGCATGGACTGCATGTGCGGATGCATGCGTCCAACACTCAGGGCTTGGCAGAGGAATACGAAATGGGTGCTGTGGTACTGCTGGGTGAGTTGGTGCTGCTTGGCAGAGGAAGCACAGGTGCTGCTGCGTGCTGTACTGCTGATTCTGCTGAGAGCTGCTGGTGCTGGTTGGAGTTGGTGGTGCCGCTGCTGGCTAGCTTGGTGCTGGCGCACGTAGGAGAGGTCTCACAGCCAAGTGAGTGATCCTGGTTGCGGTGTGGCTGTTGATTGCAGAGGAAGGACGTAACCCTGTAGATGGTACATCCAGGAGAAGAGGAGGCGGAGGCAGTCATGGGGACTGAATTTACTGCTGATATAGGGAAACTTGTGTCGCTAATGATTATGAAAGCTGCCGAGGGGTCACCTCCTGCAGGTGGCGCCATTGTTGTGTCCCACACAGATCTGCTTGAGCTCATGCGCAATGATGTCAAGTTGAATGGCGTGAGCAGCTACCTGAGCTGGTCGAGGCGGGCCGACCAGGCAGGCCTTGTTGGTCTTGAAGACAAAGGGTGTGATGGGATATGTCCTTGGAACGGTTGAAGAACCGGTTGGCAAGGAGAGGTCAGAATGGAAAAAGTGGAGTGTCACTGACTCCATGATACTGGCTTGTATGCGCAATTCTCTGATTCCTGCTATTGCAGCGTCTGTTCAGGCATTCTCGAGTGCTTTTGATGTGTGGACCCTGCTGTCCAAAAGGTACTCATGTAGGGGAACTCTGATGCTCATGTCTCAAATTGAAGACAAGATCCATGCTGTGACGAACAATGTGGTGGTGTATGTGAATAAGCTGCAACACCTTTGGGCCGATCTGGATAAGTGTGATCCCCTTTAGCTTCCCCATGCATAATCCATGGAGATTGCCAGGCACACATACAACGCTTGTGTCTCTAGATGAGGACATTGTTGCGATGTCCCAGGAAGAGGTACACCTGCAATCTAGAGGAGATGGAAATGAATCTGCTTACAGAGTGGCTGACCAACGAGGTTCTAGGGATTGTTACAAGTGTGGTCAACTAGGGTATATCAGTCGGATTTGCATAGAACCACCCATAAGAGGCAGAGGGTATAGTGGTGGCAGCAGCAACAGAGGTGGTCGGAATGGGCATGGTGGTTATTGGAATGCTCTCAAGGCAAATGTAGCTACCTCAGCCGAGGTGAAACAGCGAGGACAGGAGACTGCTACTAGTTATGTCAACTTTGTCGATACAAATGAAGGTAAGATTGAACACACATCAATAGCAAAAACAACAACAAAGCCTTTAGTCCCAAACAAGTTGGGGTAGGCTAGAGCTGATACCCATAAGATCTCGAAACCAACTAATGGTTCTGGCACGTGTGATGTAGGGTAGAACCCTAATCGCCCGATCTTTCACGAAAGGAGCGGATCCCGCGAAGAACGCGAAGAACACGAGGAGGGAAACGAGAGAAAACACAAGGGGAAACACAAGAGGAACACTCAAACTAACAAGAACAAGTCACACATGTGCTAGATCCTCGGGTACATAGAACGATACAAGATCCAAAGTCAACAACGGACGATACAAGAGGTAACCGGTTCTTCTCTGTGAGGAGGTCTTGAATCCACGGGGGGATCTTCCCTTAGAAAGGGGGCTTGAATCCAAAGAGATCTTCTCCGAAGAGGTCGCGGTCTCTCACGAGGAGTAGATCCGATGTGGATGAGGGAAGCTCTATCTTTAAGTATGAGCTAAACCAACGCTAACCCTAGCTAGGATGAAAGGGGGGTCTATTTATAGTCTAAGTGCAAAAGGGGGACGAAGTGAAGGGGTACATGGGCCTCGGGCCCGAGTGGCTGCGCGCAGGCAGAGCCGGAAGTTCCGGGGAGGGTCCGGCCTAACCAGAGAGATGGCGCGGTGGAGCTGTGCTGGCATCCGGGGGCCGGAAGGTCCGGGCAGGCCGGAAGTTCCGGCGCCGGAAGGTCCGGGGCGGGATCCGGGCTAACCCAAGAGTTGGCACGCCTGGGCTGGTCGGAGTCGTCAGAGGCCGGAAGCTCCGGGTCGGCCGGAAGGTCCGGGGGCCGGAAGTTCCGGGCTCTGGCCGGAAGTTCCGGGCTGTCCAGAGAGTTGACGCCTGTCTCTTCTTCTTCTCCGTCTTCTCGTCCATCTTCCTCTTCTTCTTGTCCTTGCTCCTTAGCTTCTCTATTGTACCTGAGTATGCACAAAATATTCATATGAGGTAGTAGCCATGCTTCATGCGCATCGAAGTGGAATTTTGAGAGGAGAGATGTCACCTCGGTTTCAAAGGCTCTTGCATGTGATTGAGTCATGGGTCCAGTAGGCACTTGATGAGACGATGGTAGGTCCATGGGGATGACCTTGGGATGCTCCGCATCATCTCCCCTCCCTTGGGGAAGATCCGTCCTCGGATCAAAATCTTCATCACCATGGAAAGGAGAGAGATCTTTGACGTTGAAGATGTCGCTCACGTTGTACTTGTCGCGTGGAAGGTCGACTTGTAAGCGTTGTCGTTGTAGCGTGCAAGCACCTTGAAGGGTCCATCCGCTCGTGGGCGAAGCTTGGATTTGCGTTCTTGTGGGAAGCGGTCCTTGCGAAGGTGTAGCCACACTCGATCACCAATATTGAAGACCATAGGTTGCTTGTTGAAGTTGAGCTTGGTCGCAAGGCGTTGAACTTGGCGCTCGATGGTGTTTCTTGTATCTTCATGCATCTTCTTGAGGAAGTTTTTGCTCGGGCACTCGCGTCCAAGTTTGTGCGCTCTTGAAGAGGTAGAGGTAGAATGTCCAATGGGAACAATGGGTTGAAGCCATAGACGACCTCGAAGGGGGACTTGCCGGTAGTCGAATGTCTTGCTCGGTTGTAGGCGTACTCGGCGATGGGTAGACACTCCTCCCACTCCTTGATGTTCTTCTTGATGAGTACTCGAAGTAGAGCGGAGCGTGTGCGGTTTGTCACCTCCGTTTGGCCGTCGGTTTGAGAATGGTATGCCGTGGAGAAGAGTAGCTTGATTCCGAGCTTGGCGCATAGGGTCTTCCAAAAGTAGCTAAGGAACTTGACGTCGCGGTCCGAGACGATAGTCTTTGGCACTCCATGAAGACGCAAGATTTCCCTACAAAACAAATTTGCAATATGTGAAGCATCTTCTATCTTGTTGCAAGGAATGAAATGAGCCATTTTGGAGAAACGGTCCACGACAACAAAAACGGAATCCTTGTCATTTCGAGTTCTAGGTAAACCAAGCACAAAGTCCATGCTAATATCTTCCCATGGTTGATATGGAATTGGAAGTGGCATATAGAGGCCATGAAATTAGGCTTTAGACTTAGCTTTGCGACATGTAGAACAACGGTTGGTGAAGCGATTGACGTCGTGATGCATCTTGGGCCAAAAGTAGTTCTTGGAGAGCGTAGCAAATGTCTTGTCGCGACCAAAGTGTCCCATTAAGCCTCCTCCATGAGATTCCTGCAAAAGCAACAAACGAAGCGAGGACTCGGGAATGCAAAGTTTGTTAGCTCTCATAAGGTATCCATCTTTGATGTAATATCGATCCCAAGAAGTATGCATCAAACATTTGGCATAAGGAAAGGCAAAAGTTGTATCATGCTCATATAAGTCGTTGATATGCTCGAAGCCAATTACATCTAATTCAAGTTGCATGACAAGCATGCAAATGCGGGAAAGCGCATCCGCTATGATGTTTTCTTTACCCTTGATGTACTTGATGACATAGGGAAAAGAGTCA